CTGGACAGCCACGGCGGGGGTCAAGGTTCAGTGTGGAGTCTGCGGGATGATCACACCGTTCCTTACGATTCTCTCCAGACTGGTATCGGGGATAATCACAGCATTCCTTACGATTCTTTTCAACCTGCTATCGGGGATGATCACAGCATTCCTTACGATTCTCTACTGCCTAGTATCGGAGATGTTCAAAGCATTCCTTACGATTCCATCCAGCCTGGTATCGGAGATCATCAAAGCATTCCTTACGATTCTCTACTGCCTAGTATCGGAGATGTTCAAAGCATTCCTTACGATTCTTTTCAACCTGGTATCGGAGGTGATCACAGCATTCCTTACGATTCTCTCCAGACTGGTATCGGAGATCTTCAAAGCATTCCTCATGGTTCTCTCCAGACTGGTATCGGAGATCTTCAAAGCATTCCTCATGGTTCTCTCCAGACTGGTATCGGAGGTGATCACTGTATTCCTTTTGACGCGTGTTCTGAGCACGAGTCTGAGGGGGAGCTGTCGGAGGACAGTTTGTGTGAGGAGACGTCTGGTGGGTCAGGTGGGACGGCACAGGCCATGTCAGATGACAGACAGAGGGGTGACACGTGGCAAAGTACGTCAGATGACAGACAGAGAGGTGAGACGTGGCGCAGTACGTCAGGTGACAGACAGAGGGGTGAGACGTGGCGCAGTACGTCAGGTGACAGACAGAGGGGTGAGACGTGGCACAGTACGTCAGGTGACAGACAGAGGGGTGAGATGTGGCGCAGTACGTCAGGTGACAGACAGAGAGGTGAGACGTGGCGCAGTACGTCAGGTGACAGACAGAGGGGTGAGACGTGGCGCAGTACGTCAGATGACAGGCAGAGGAGTGAGACGGCACGTGTCATGTCAGATGACAGACAGAGGGGTGACATGTGGCAAAGTACGTCAGATGACAGACAGAGAGGTGAGACGTGGCGCAGTACGTCAGGTGACACACAGAGGAGTGAGACGGCACATGTCATGTCAGATGACAGACAGAGGAGAGAGCCAGATGCGGCACTGAGTGAGGAAGGTGCACCACGTTGCCAACGTGACAGGCTGGCACGAGACATCTCCTCAGGGTCCGGTGTAGATGGACCACGGGGGTTGTCCGGCAGAGACAGGGACCAGGGCGCCGCTGGACGTCGGGAGATAGCGACAGTGGGCGTGCCGGACAGCGGTCAGTCCGTGGCCGGGCCTGGGGAGGCGGGCAGGGGATCTGTGGTGTCTCCTCCCTCCACACTCTGTGTGTGCTCTGTGGGCGGCCCTCACGGGGTCACGGAGGTCACAGAGGTTCTGTCCCCCATGCAGGATCCACTGCAGGTACCGCCCCTTTAGTGCTGGGACCACGCCCCCTTTAGTGCTGGGACCACGCCCCCTTTAGTGCTGGGACCACGCCCCCTTGTGTTGGAAAGTCTTGAAGCCCATACCCTTGTAACTAACTAGATCTACTCACTCTCTCGTGTGATGGTTGAAAAAATATTAAAATTTTTATTTTCATCTTTATTATTCTTTTAAAGATTTTACGTAAAAAAAAAAAGTTTAAAATGTATATGGGTGGGGTAGGGGGCACAGGGTTACTTAACCCTATCTGTACGTCGTGTTTTACTATCGTATCCATACGACGTGGGGAACTCTGTGCCACCACTTAACCATATCTGTACGT